GTGGTACTCCATCAGACTGACTTTCCACAAACATCTTGGTTTGTTCTTATCTAGTATTAACAGAAGGTAAAGTCAATTACATTATACTTTAAATTAATCACTGTTTAAAATATAAAACAAAACATTTTTAGAAAATATGCCAAAACTCTGACTTTGACCTACCAGTGACTTCATAAATGTCGTTGTGTGTATGGCACATTATCAGCCAATTTACTTATTTATGGAACCTACTAACAGGACACACCTGGTAATTTGAAATGTTTATGATGTCACATTTCATCACAATATTTAGAAATTCTCCAATTATATCTTATCTTTTTTAGAAGCTCACAGATAACTAAAATCTTTATAATCTCACAGTTCAGCAAAATAATTATATATTCACAGTTTAAATATTTATAGACAAACAGTTCACCAAAATATTTTAGACTCACATTTTAGGTAAATATTTATGGACTCACAGTTTATTTAACTATTTATAGACTCACAGTTCAGCTTAACTATTTATAGACTCACAGTTCAGCTTAACTATTTATAGACTCACAGTTCACTTAAAATATTTATGATATCACAGTTCACCAAGATATTTATATAGATTTACAGTTCACTTAAATATTTCTTAAGGCTCACAGTTCACTCAAAATATATATAATTACAGGTTTCCATACATAAAATATGTGCTGTATAGTAACGTATAATTCCAATAATTTGAGATATTATATAAGTCTATCTTTATCTGTAACTGTTGATACTTTTAGTATAGCACATACAAACAATTTAACATATATTCTATAATATGACCTGTATACTGTACATTTTCCTTCCCTTATCCTTTGTTTTCTTCTTTCAAACCCTTTAGCTACACATTGTGTGTTGTCATTATTTGCTTTTCCATTCTGTTGAATCAAATTCTTTCTTCTTCATTATGATATTCACTAAGGAATCAGATTTGTATCAGTTCAATGTCTTGTTTCTTGATCCTTTTTCCATGGCCGTTGATCAATGTGTATGTACTGTGGATGAGTCTGGGCCCCTTTTTGAGAAAATGACAATGCGGTACCCTTTCAACTATCTCTTGAGAACAAAACGTTTTATTCCAAAACTTTAAAACCGCTTTTTTTTGAGACGGGATTGCTGCTTGCATTTTTTCAGCTATGACTTTCCTCCCTGATTAGATTACCTGTTCCAAAGGGACAAGGTGAACTTAAGCTATACCCTGGCGTCCATCGTCTGTCCATTGTCCATCGTCCGTCCGTCAACTATTTCTTCATATGACTTCTTCTTCATAACTGCTGATTGGAATTTAACATAAATTTGACTGGAAGCATCCTTAGGTGGTGGGAATTCAAAATTGTACAAATGGAGGGTCTGACCCCCCAGGGGGCTGAAGGGCAGAGCCCAAGGTGGTAATTTGGCTATATTGCTTTAGGCGACTTCTTTTCTGAAACTAAGACAAGGATAGCCATCATATTTGGTTGGAAGCATCCTTAGATGGTGGGTATTCAAAACTGTACAAATGATGGCCTGACCCCCAGGGGGTTGGGGGCAGGGTCTAAAAGGGGTTATGTAGCCATATTGCTACAAGCGACTTCTCTGAAACTAAGAAAAAGAATATCAACCATATTTGGTTGGGTGCATCCCATAGGTGATGCGTATTCAAAAATATACAAATGATGGCCTGACATCCCCCCCCCCCCCCCCCCCCCCCCCAAAAAAGTGCTGAGGGGCTGGGACAAAATAGGGGTAATTAGCCCTATTGCTTTAAGTGACTTCTTTTCTGAAACTGAGACAAGAATATCAATTATATTTTGTTGGAAGCATTCTTAGCTGATGAGGATTCAAAATTGTACCAGTGTATGGGCTGACCCCAAGCACTGAGGGGAAAGACCATAAAGAACTTTTAACTTTGAAATTATCGGGATCCTCAACTCATAACCATGTATACAGTTAACAAGCAACAAACACAATCATGATATAAGAATTGACCCTGGGGTCTGGCCCTACTCATAGGGACTTAGCCATGACTTTGAAACGGTTGAGACCCCCATCCCGTAACCACTCATAACATTGCTGGGAATCAAGACACTAAAACAATTATGATATATTAGGAATTTGATCCTGAGGTCTGGCACTTGCCTTTACGGATTTAATTCTTGCATCATATCTTTGAAATGGTGAGATCCCCACCCCATAACAATATTCACCATTGCTTGGCGTTAAGGGACGATCACAATGTTGTTTACCTGAAACCATCCTTCAAACATTATAATAACAAGTAAATGTCGCCGAATCTGCTCTGTGTCATTTCTAGTACACACCTAAATAGAACACTGTCGGTTGACGTTTACAAAAAAAGATTCAGTTGGAGAAAAAAATTGACTACGTACAGTTTATTTCCATCAGATTTAAATGTTAACAACAGCAAAAGATATTATAAACATCACCAATTCATAACACATTGACATTTACTATAAAATAATAGGGTTTGTTTACATGTGCCATTTGTTTTTACTCATGTACAAGGACATAATACCAGATGTCCTGTCAAACTGTGTTCTCGAGGGTCTACATGTACAAGGACATAATACCACATGTCTTGTCCATCTGTGTTCTCGAGGGTCAACATGTACCAGGACATAATACCAGATGTTCTGTCCATCTGTATTCTCGAGGGTCTACATGTACAAGGACATAATACCAGATGTCCTGTCCATCTGTGTTCTCGAGGGTCTACATGTACAAGGACATAATACCAGATGTTCTGTCCATCTGTGTTCTCGGGGGTCAACATGTACAAGGACATAATACCAGATGTCCTGTCAAACTGTGTTCTCGAGGGTCTACATGTACAAGGACATAATACCACATGTCCTGTCCATATGTATTCTCGAGAGTCAACATGTACAAGGACATAATACCACATGCCCTCTCCATATGTATTCTCGAGAGTCAACATGTACAAGGACATAATACCACATGTCCTGTCCATCTGTGTTCTCGAGGGTCAACATGTACAGACTTCCACACTCTAGTGAGATCTCCACTCTCTAAAGGTATTATGACATTTGTGAGAGACCATCACACTCTTATGAGATAACCACACTCTTATGAGATCTCCACACACTATGAGATCTCCACACACTTATGAGATCACCACACTCTTATGAAATCACCACACTCTGAGATTATCACTCACTTGTAAGATCACCTTTCTAAGAGATTATCACACACTTGTAAGATCACCTCACTCTCAGAGATTATCACACTCTCATGTGATCACCACTCTCTCATGATATCACCACACTCTCATGAAATCACCACAATCTGGTGAGATCACAACTCTTGTGAAATTACCACACTTGTGAGATCACCACTCTCTCATGAGATCACCACTCTCCAGAGATCACCACACTCTCATAAGATCACAACACTCTTGTGAGATCAACACTCTCTCATGATATCACCAATCTCATGAGATCACCACACTTTCATGAGATCACCACACTTGTGAGATCACCACTCTCATTAGATCACCACACTCATGAGATCACCACACTCTCATGAGATCACCATTCTCATGAGATCACCACACTCTCATGATATCACCAATCTCATGAGATCACCACACTCTCATGATATCACCAATCTCATGATATCACCACACTCTCATGATATCACCACACTTGTGAGATCACCACTCTCATTAGATCACCACACTCATGAGATCACCACTCTCATGAGATCACCATTCTCATGAGATCACATCACTCTTGTGAGATCAACACTCATGAGATCACCACACTTGTGACATCACCACTCTCATGAGATCACCACACTTGTGAGATTACCACACTCTTGTGAGAGCAACTTACCTTTCTAAGATCCCTACACTCTCAGAGATCATGACACTCTTGTGAGATCACCACACTTTCAGAGATTAGTACACATTTGTAAGATCACCACACTCTCAGAGATTATAACATGCTTGTGATATCACCACACTCAGAGATCATGACACACTTGTAAGATCACCACACTCTCATGAGATCACCACACTCTCATGAAATCACCACCATCTGGTGAGATCACCACTCTTGTGAGATTACCACACTTGTGAGATTACCACACGTGTGAGATCACCACTCTCTCATTTTGCCACACTTGTGAGATCAACACTCATGAGATCACCACAATCTGGTGAGATCCCCACTGTTGTGAGATTACCTAACTTGTGAGATCCCCACTCTCTCATGAGATCCCCACTCTCTCATGGGATCACCACACACTCATGAGATCACCACTCTCATGAGATCACCACTCTTGTGAGATCAACACTCTCTTATGAGCTCACCATACTCGTGAGATCACCACTCTCATGAGATCACCACTCTTATGAGATTACCACTCTTTTGTGAGATCAACTTACCTTTGTAAGATCCCCACACTCTCATGAGATCACAACACTTGTGTGATCATCACTCTCATGAGATCACCACAATCTGGTGAGATTACCACTGTTGTGAGATTACCACACTTGTGATCCCCACTCTCAGAGATTATCACACACTTGTGAGATCACCACACTCTCAGAGATCAAGACACTCTTGTGAGATCACCACACTCTCAGAGATCAAGACACTTGTTAGATCACCACACTCTCAGAAATCAAGAAACACTTGTAAGATCACCCGACTCTCAGAGATTATAACACACTTGTAAGATCACCACACTCTCAGAGATTATCACACACTTGTAAGATCACCACACTCTCAGAAATTATCACTCTTGTGATATGACAACTCCATGACTACACTCTCATGATATCTTAACCATCTTTTGAGATCACAACTCTGGTGAGGTCATCACACATTTGAAAGGTCACCACACTACCATGAGATCGCAACACTCTCATGAATTTTAACATTTTATTTCTGCAAATCAGTCCTTCACTGTTAAAACCATTATAAATTGACATTTATCAATCAAGACAAATTCAATTATTTGTTTTCCAGACTTTATTTCAAGATAACAAGGTACATAAATACCTGAAATGAATTATCACATGTCACAGGTTTGCAGTATAATATCACCTTACAGAAATTTACAATATGTAACATGTAAACGTTTTTTGTAACATAACCAAGGAACAAAGTTCAGTTCCCATAAATGTCTTTTTTAAGACTGAATACAGCATACCTAAATCTTTTGTCTCTAAAAAGTAATGCAACAGTGGACCACTAACTAGGTCCCACTGGATATGCATTGTATTAGTCATGATAGGCCTGCCTACACAAATAATTGTCACTCCCATCTGTTTTTCTGTAAAAAAATTGACATCTAAACCCACCCCACCTCAGGCCCCCTACAACTTAGCACTGTAACGAATTTATCTCTTGAGTAAAAATAACAATTAGTATATATTATCATGAAATAGAAAGCGTTTCTCAGAAGAAATGTGTTTTTATGAATTTTTGGTATAGGCATTTACATAAAATTTCCTTTCCTCTTTTTATTCATTTGATGTGCTCTTCAAAATGGATTTCCGTTAGTGCCAAGAACACCTAATTTGTAGTGCAAGGTATACATGTAATAATCAAAGACACGAACTAGCATTTTTGACAATAGGGTTGACAATGATATTCATGTCTTGAAGTTAAGCAACATGAACGGTTCTCTGTTCATGGAGTATGGATCAAACCTCCTAAATCCCACCCCTACCCCTGGTAATATATAAGGTACTCGTTGTAATTCCATTGGTGGACGGAAAACTGTTCTGGATGGAATGAATTAATGTATAGCCACACACACTATCGTCACTACAAAATATATTACAAAATGTAAATGTTTGACAAAATATAAATAAATGCATTGATTTATGACATATCAAGAAACATTTCACATAAAATAAGTTCATACATTAATGAATGGAATCACAGGACTGTACATGTAAATGTACCTAAGTAAACACTCATGTTATTATAGAGCATTTAGTTCTGATTCTGAACGATTTTATTTTGTAAAGTGCTAAAATTTGCCTCATTATAATTATATGCTACTTTAAAGTTTTTAATAACAGGCAGATTTCCCTCAAGTTCAATCTTTGTATAGTATAGCTATTGATCAAATTTCTTATTTTATTAAATTATTTTACGGAAACCATCAACCAACCAAAGTTGCTTATTGTACATATTTACTAATTTTCATCAAAATAAGTTTGTTTTTAACAGATTATCTTTGGAAAACTAAAGTGTTCAAAATTGACAAACGGTTGCTCCCCAAACTGTAAGACATCCTGTAAATATATGTCAGGTCACAGAGCTGCATAAAAGTGGGACTTACATATATTTAACATTCAAACAAGTTTTTTATGAATTTCATGCATACAGGCTATGAAACTGAAATCAGAATTTGATAACCAAAAACGTAATTTGATGATGTCATTGAAAAATATGTATTTAAAAAGAAATGAACAAAATGTAAAACATTGGTTATCTTGACTGTGATGTTACAATCTTAATTCAAATCTTGCAAAGATACTTATTGATATCTTAAGTATGTAAAACTATACAGACTTGAGAATTTACTACTTTATAAGCAATTTAATAAAATGAGACAAATTATCCTTCGACTAATAAATAACAAAATCTGTGATACCGGTATAAACATCTTTAAACTAAATGCAAAATAAATGAATGTGCTAGCCAAACATTATCTCTCTGGGCTACAAATGTGACCATTATAATCTCAAGTTATAATGAAGACAAAGGGAAATAACTCTTCTAGACCTACATGTACCTTGTAAGTTGTATGTAACTGATCAGTGCTAGAAACCTTACCTGTTGAACACCTGACCATGTACTCTGTATGTAACCCTGACTCTACCAACACAGCTGTACTTGTCCCAATGACCCAGGCCATACCTGTCTCTATGACCCAGGCCATACCTGTCTCAATGACCCAGGCCATACCTGTCTCAATGACCCAGGCCATACCTGTCTCAATGACCCAGGCCATACCTGTCTCAATGACCCAGGCCATACCTGTCTCAATGACCCAGGCCATACCTGTCTCAATGACCCAGGCCATACCTGTCTCAATGACCCAGGCCATACCTGTCTCAATGACCCAGGCCATACCTGTCTCAATGACCCAGGCCATACCTGTCTCAATGACCCAGGCCATACCTGTCTCAATGACCCAGGCCATACCTGTCTCAATGACCCAGGCCATACCTGTCTCAATGACCCAGGCCATACCTGTCTCAATGACCCAGGCCATACCTGTCTCAATGACCCAGGCCATACCTGTCTCAATAACCCAGGCCTCTTAATGCCAGTAAATCAATCTGTCTCAAGATTTCATCAAACAATTCAATTCATGTTCGGGAAAATTCACTTTTAAAAAATGTAACAATCTTGAAAAACAACCTGTACATATAACATTTTACAACACTGTCATTTGCTCAGTCTTCAAAATAAATATCTATATTATCCTCATACAAAATCTATTAACATCTAGCAGCTAATGAGTAACGCTGCCTAGAATTACACCACAGATACATTGTTTTCATTTTGATGGTGTTGGATAACAATTAAATAAAATAAAAAACAAGTATGAAACAGGTGTCGATGGGAAATATTTTAAAGCATTGTGGCATCACAGAGTTAAATAAGAAAACTTGGTACTATCTAAATCAAATTTTAACATCTCTTTTTTATGAAATGTTAACAGTATGAAACGTTAATAATACTCTTGCCTAAATTCTAACAAAGAATATATGTGATACAAAATGTTTTAACATGTAAAACCTGTTTCAGGAAATATATTAATAAATAAATACTGAATGTTGGCGTTATATTCGACAATTTCTTCTCCCTAACATAAAACTATGGTTTAGAATTGACAAAAACATAACATACAACTCCCTGTAGGATGGTGTTCTCTGGCCTCTCGACTCACATGTATTGGGAAATCTTTTCAACATAAAAAAGGTGCAATTTCTTGAAAGAAATCTGGAACAAAAAAATTCCAAGTTGGTGATGGCTACCAAAAGTTCAATAAGATCACTCTCTAGCGAAATGATTATCTCATCAAGGGTTCAGGTTAACAAGGATTTGTAGTTTCTTAACCTGGTATTACCATAAAGACTCAATTTAATATCTTCCTACTTCAGCAGTAAATCCTCAATTCTTAGATTTATTTGTTAACAGTGTAATTTTTATCATTCTATCTAAAGGAGGAACGTCACCACAAGATTCAAACAAACAGAAGTGCTGATCCTGAGAAGACTTCTATGTAGAAGAGTTTCTATGTAGAAGGGTAGTCAGCACCTGACAGAGAGGAGGGCTATAGTTATGAACTATCAGCAGCCCCTGACAGAGAGGAGGGCTATAGTTATGAACTATCAGCCCCACGATGAACCTGGAATGCAGTGTAGGATTTGATATGTTCCTGTAGTAGCTGCATGGCGGCCATCTTCTGACTCAAAATGTTGCTGACTTTGTCAACATATTCATCATACGTCTGCAAAAAAAAGAGGAGAAAAAAACCCATCAAAAACTCATTAATTATCAGAATAATTTTTAATCAAGGGAAATGCCCATAAAAATATGTTTCAGTTGATCTAATCTAACAAATGAGGTAGGCTGCACTGGTCCCATATAAAGTTTCTGCTATACATCAGTGCTGGGTTAGTTATATTGGTGAGTTTATATATCATACAAACAACCATACCTTAGTTCTAGCTTAGTTATATTGGTGAGTTTATATATCATACAAACAACCATACCTTAGTTCTAGCTTAGTTATATTGGTGAGTTTATATATCATACAAACAACCATACCTTAGTTCTAGCTTAGTTATATTGGTGAGTTTATATATCATACAAACAACCATACCTTAGTTCTAGCTTAGTTATATTGGTGAGTTTATATATCATACAAACAACCATACCTTAGTTCTAGCTTAGTTATATTGGTGAGTTTATATATCATACAAACAACCATACCTTAGTTCTAGCTTAGTTATATTGGTGAGTTTATATATCATACAAACAACCATACCTTAGTTCTAGCTTAGTTATATTGGTGAGTTTATATATCATACAAACAACCATACCTTAGTTCTAGCTTAGTTATATTGGTGAGTTTATATATCATACAAACAACCATACCTTAGTTCTAGCTTAGTTATATTGGTGAGTTTATATATCATACAAACAACCATACCTTAGTTCTAGCTTAGTTATATTGGTGAGTTTATATATCATACAAACAACCATACCTTAGTTCTAGCTTAGTTATATTGGTGAGTTTATATATCATACAAACAACCATACCTTAGTTCTAGCTTAGTTATATTGGTGAGTTTATATATCATACAAACAACCATACCTTAGTTCTAGCTTAGTTATATTGGTGAGTTTATATATCATACAAACAACCATACCTTAGTTCTAGCTTAGTTATATTGGTGAGTTTATATATCATACAAACAACCATACCTTAGTTCTAGCTTAGTTATATTGGTGAGTTTATATATCATACAAACAACCATACCTTAGTTCTAGCTTAGTTATATTGGTGAGTTTATATATCATACAAACAACCATACCTTAGTTCTAGCTTAGTTATATTGGTGAGTTTATATATCATACAAACAACCATACCTTAGTTCTAGCTTAGTTATATTGGTGAGTTTATATATCATACAAACAACCATACCTTAGTTCTAGCTTAGTTATATTGGTGAGTTTATATATCATACAAACAACCATACCTTAGTTCTAGCTTAGTTATATTGGTGAGTTTATATATCATACAAACAACCATACCTTAGTTCTAGCTTAGTTATATTGGTGAGTTTATATATCATACAAACAACCATACCTTAGTTCTAGCTTAGTTATATTGGTGAGTTTATATATCATACAAACAACCATACCTTAGTTCTAGCTTAGTTATATTGGTGAGTTTATATATCATACAAACAACCATACCTTAGTTCTAGCTTAGTTATATTGGTGAGTTTATATATCATACAAACAACCATACCTTAGTTCTAGCTTAGTTATATTGGTGAGTTTATATATCATACAAACAACCATACCTTAGTTCTAGCTTAGTTATATTGGTGAGTTTATATATCATACAAACAACCATACCTTAGTTCTAGCTTAGTTATATTGGTGAGTTTATATATCATACAAACAACCATACCTTAGTTCTAGCTTAGTTATATTGGTGAGTTTATATATCATACAAACAACCATACCTTAGTTCTAGCTTAGTTATATTGGTGAGTTTATATATCATACAAACAACCATACCTTAGTTCTAGCTTAGTTATATTGGTGAGTTTATATATCATACAAACAACCATACCTTAGTTCTAGCTTAGTTATATTGGTGAGTTTATATATCATACAAACAACCATACCTTAGTTCTAGCTTAGTTATATTGGTGAGTTTATATATCATACAAACAACCATACCTTAGTTCTAGCTTAGTTATATTGGTGAGTTTATATATCATACAAACAACCATACCTTAGTTCTAGCTTAGTTATATTGGTGAGTTTATATATCATACAAACAACCATACCTTAGTTCTAGCTTAGTTATATTGGTGAGTTTATATATCATACAAACAACCATACCTTAGTTCTAGCTTAGTTATATTGGTGAGTTTATATATCATACAAACAACCATACCTTAGTTCTAGCTTAGTTATATTGGTGAGTTTATATATCATACAAACAACCATACCTTAGTTCTAGCTTAGTTATATTGGTGAGTTTATATATCATACACAATGTCAACCATACCTTAGTTCTAGCTTAGTTATATTGGTGAGTTTATATATCATACACAATGTCAACCATACCTTAGTTCTAGCTTAGTTATATTGGTGAGTTTATATATCATACACAATGTCAACCATACCTTAGTTCTAGCTTAGTTATATTGGTGAGTTTATATATCATACACAATGTCAACCATACCTTAGTTCCAGCTTAGTTATATTGGTGAGTTTATATATCATACAAACAACCATACCTTAGTTCCAGCTTAGTTATATTGGTGAGTTTATATATCATTCAAACAACCATACCTTAGTTCCAGCTTTAGCACCTAACAACAGCTTCATCTCTAATTTACAAAGGGAGGTAACTACGGCCAACTGGTCTTCGTGGGCTGATATCAGTCTTTGTCTAGGAGAAAAATGAATTCAGTATACAGTCTGTATACACTTTTTGTTTAAAGAAGTAGAGGATATATAACATGCCTGTCCATTGAATACGATACATATAATTCATGTTGAAGAATATCTTTACTTCCCTGAATACAATTAAAGCATGATTGTGACAAAAACTGAACACTTAATAATATAGGCTTAATACTGTTGTCAAATCCTTTTCGAAACAATAAAATATCTTGAATTGAAAAGCTTTTAAGAAATTGTCTGCAACATAAATGTAATATCATTTGGTGTTTTATGATTCACCATTAGATTTTTTCTATTTGATATGTTTTTGTAACTCTAATGATGTTGTGGTCAAAATGTGCACCAACTCTAACAGTGTGATTGTTTTTTTTCTGCTGGATGAAATCATCCATTCGTTTGCTGCCTTGGTACATGTATTAGGAGATATTCATTCATTAAACATGTTTTCTTTTAAACATTTAATACAGCATTATGTGAAAACTCATAAATTTATCCTTAATTTAAATAGATCTGAATAGGCATCAGCAGTCTCCATTTCACAAATGGTCCAGTGACTGTTCTGATTGGTAAATAATACTCAGGTTAATCGTTTTCATTTTGTGATTTTTTTTTTTATCAAGTTGAGAGAATCCTCACTGCTTAACTGTCGTAAATCCTATTCACACACAGTTGTGGACAAACTGCTGTATCAATGTCTTTAAGCCCTAAAATATTTCTCTATATTTAAGATTTAATCATTGCTTATTATACATTGGTGTAGTAAAAATTATTAGGTCCGATGCTTTCACAATTTTGAGCCCACAATGGAAAATTTAAACTAACATGTCTCCAAAAGATGTGAACAATGTCTCCTTTTTTAAATGCGTTACATAATGATCGCATCATATGTGTATGCATCTTTCACCATAACTTTCATACACTTGTACATGTGTATCCAAACCATGAGTTATCACCAGAAACTTCCACAATACATACATAAAACACTTTTTGTCTATTCCTTATTTCTACATTTTCAAGGTGAGTCATTGTCTTTGTTACATTACATAAAAATGTTCTACTGATAATGAGTTATAAACAGAGGTTTACTATTCTAGTAAGACACAATGTCATTCTAAATGTGAATATACAACTCAGAACTAGATCTTATTGATAACCTTACCTCGGATCTGTTGGAATGGACTCGTCACTTATGGTTCGTCTGCGTCCATTTCCAGCGTTGTCTGTTGACATGGTCAAAGCCTTCGGTTGAAGAATGTCCTTACTGACTATTCCCACGGCCACACTCTTTGTCAGCCGATTGGACGACGTGACAGGTTGAGGGTGAATTGGTGAAAATGCTGATCCCACCGTCAACTTCTCTGTTTTTATAGCACTACTGTTGTTAGCGGAACGTCCGCCTGATGCAACACTGTTCTCTGAGCGACTGTCGTGTGAAGAAGAAGAACTGAAAGACACAGTACCATCTTGATGGTATTTAGTTGCCAAGATATTTTCTTTGTTGCTTGGATCAAACAATGCAGGAATTTTATCGATTTCCAGGAGATTGTGGGAACTTCCTTGTAGGAGTGTGGGAATGGTAATACTCTGTGGAGATGGAACGTTTAGTACAGGATTTGTACTACTGTCCCAGCATGTACGCACTGCCTGAGGGCTGTCACTGACCGACACCGCCAGCCCACTGTCACTTGTCACAGACTTACTTTCACTCGGTTTTGATGTGGATGGTCCATGAAGTTCTGAATTTTCTGATGGTGGTTTGAAAAACACTGAACGTAGACGACTAGCTACATTTTGACGTGACGCAGTATCTACCTTACGATTTTCTGGGGTAGTTTGTCGTCTTTGAACTGTCAGAAACTCCGACATGTCACCATCCACCCCTTTGATTTCTGTTTCCTCCTCGTCAAAGTAATCTTCATATGGTTTCTCTGGCGTAATGTTGCTGGTAAATTCTTTGTATTTACTAAAGAAAGCACCTGGTTGTAGTTTAGAAGAAGACTGAGAAACAAAATTGCTGGATTTTTGCACTGACATATGGGTATCAAAGTGTGCAGGGGTAGCATACCATTCTCCTGTAGAAGGGAGTTCAACTTCCTGATCTATATTGTCCCGATTATTTTCTCTAACATTAGTCTGCCTTGCTACATTATGCGGAGACAATCTATTAGTGTTGGCCCCATTATCATTAAAGTTTCTATAGGGTTGATGTGATACAGAAAATGGGGCAGACACTTTGGATCTTCCCTGATATTCGGGAGATTCCATCAGAGACTCGGACACCACTGGCGGAGGAGTCCGCAGGATGCGGGGACGTGACGCCATGGGGTTTTCACTCGTTTTCTCTTTAGTAAATGGAGGACGGTTGTTTGAGGGTAAACCTTGAGGGGGCTCAGGTTTGTGGAAACGGTTATTACCAATTCTTCCTGGAGATCTTTGAGAAAATGTAGTGAGGTCACTACTGATGGCAGTCAGCACTGCTGGGATGGCTGGAGTGGTCAAATTATCCTGTGGTACTTTGAATGGAGCATCCCGTCCACGACTGAGTCCAAGATTAGGAGAATTATTATCTCCTCCTGAATTCTGTAGGTTTGACTCCCCTGTTGATGGTTTCCGTGGATAACCCCTAGCACTATCTGGTACTCTGTTGGTTCCTTCAAACAGCAGATCATCCTCAAAACTATCGTTGAACTCTGAAGAAGGGCGAGAATGTCGCTGGGGGAGAGTGTCAGACACTTTAGGTCCTTTGGCTACAGCACCAGATGACCCTGATCCCTGAATATTTCTGGAGGAAGGTGAAGGTTGATCTGCTCCTGTGGAGGAAACTGATGCAATTGTCACTCTAGGCGACTCAGTATACTTTTTATTCCTTAAAATGGGGATGGCATGATTGTTTGTACAACTAGATGCTCCATGAGATGCCTTGCCCTGTTCGATCATAGGGAGGGGATGCCCCGCCGTTGACAGGTGCACTCCACCCGTAACAGCTTGAGAGGCTGTTGCTGTAGACGTTTCTCCCATGGGCATGGTCTGGCCAGTTTCAGTTCGCTTCCCACCAGTCTTATTAAGATCATTGAGCATTTCTTCATTGTTGAAGTCAGTTGTAGGAAAGTCATTGTCTGTGTCTTGTGAGTGTGTGATTGGGACATTGCTAGCTCCGATCCCGACTCTCTGTCGGTTTGGCACGGTGATGTTGTTAGAGTCGGACTCTGTGTGTTCAGGCGTATCGTCTGTTGATGAATCCTGACAAGCTGCTTCTGCTCTAAGATTGCGACGTGATGTGACTGGTGAAGATGACTTACTAGGTCCTGTATGGCGGACAACAGACAGGCGACTGGCAACAGAGCGGCTTGGCTTTGAAGACTCGGATTTAGCAATATTTTTGGGAACAACTTTCCTCCTCATTCCATGACCCTTGATTGGGGTTTCATTGGGGTCAAGTGCTATATCTGACACTACACGACTGCTGCTTTGACGTGATGAGCGGTGTCGCATGGGCGTGGAAGAACAGAGGACATTGGAAGGTTGAAAGACAGATGGCGCCTGTAGAGGGATGTTCATCAGTATGTTAGTGGCTAGACTGGCTCTTGTTCCCCCAGCCCCAGGATCTCGTCGCAATTCCTTCACCCTGAAATACAAACAAAAGGTTACAACACTGTATTGCATAAAATGTTGTTTTTACTTTGTGTTTTATGGTTAACAATCTGTTTAGTTGATACAAACTACTGGTACATTATAAATCAAGACAATTATTTTCTAGTTTGAACCACAATGACATAACAGTGTGACTTTCATCAATTCTTGTTGATTTCTCCGAGCTCACCTGTCAGCATATCTGAGTGTGTTGAGAGTGTGTTCACCAGATATGTTGGTGGGAGAGAAGTTGGCTATCATACAGGTACGTGAGTTTCCAACAAAGGAGTCTTTCAGGATGTGAGTCAGCTTGCTCTGTCGGAACGGTGTATGTTTACTGTCCTGGTCAATAGAACGTATGCATTCCTTCAGCTGGAAAAGTAGAAAAATCACATTCACAAGGTGCAGAATAATGTGCAAACAAGTTCACTCAGACAATGCATACAATACATAAATATCTACCCTGTACATTTAGAAGGAGGAGGATAAAGAGTAGGATAACAGGGTAAAGATTTCCAGGTATTATAAAGTTTAACTGTTTAGTGCTTTATGTCTTTGATAAGGTAATGGTGTCTACTGATGATGGAGCCTCTAAGGTGGATATTGAGCCTCAGATTAATTTCAGACTTGTTGGTGTCCTGGTTCATTTCATTGTCCACCAGTATGCTGGCCTTTGCTATAGATATACCCAATACCATATGATTTGGCCCCTCTGATCAGGTTTCAATGTAATCCTATAAATAACATTCAAACTGTAAACTGAAGTAATTGTATTGTCTCAATATAAAGATAAATCCATAATGCCTAACCCGTCTCAAGAATTAGAATAGCCAGTAGTGGTCCGTCTGTACTTACAGTTGGTCAGTAGTGGTCAGCCTGTACTTACAGTTGGTCAGTAGTGGTCAGTCTTTAATTACAGCTGGTCATTAATGGTTCGTCTGTACTTACAGTTGGTCAGTTGTGGTCAGTCTATACTTACAGCTGGTCAGTCTATACTTACAGTTGGTCAGCTGTGGTCAGTCTATATGTACAGCTGGTCAGCTGTGGTCAGCCTGTACTTACAGCTGGTCAGTCTATACTTACAGTTGGTCAGTTGTGGTCAGCTTGTACTTACAGCTAGAAGGCTTTGGTTTATTTCTGCTCCTTCCATGCGTGTCTGCCTGTCTGTTTCTGTCATGTCCGATGCTCTCTCACTCCCGGCCAGGTCAATGAATGACATCCTGAGCAAGAAACATGTTTACATAACTGATATAATTCCTATATATATATGAAACTCTTATTGGTTGTGTAAAAGGAACTTTTCATAAACATATAATTCCTTTTTATAGTGAAAATGCTTTTAATAAGAGATGACACTGAATCACAAAATATTCTCCAGTGATTGCAATAACCTAGTATGATGTGTATCAGCTTACCTTCCCACCCGTTTATCCTGGCTGTTTCTGATCTCTATCTGTAGGACAGCATGTGACCGAGAGGAATCAGGATTTACTCCGGTCACCCCCTTACTGCGCACAGAATTACCGTACTCCAGCACCTATAAAACATACAAAGTACCTTAAATACGTATACGGTAGTATGAACCCAGTTGGCAACGAACATATTCTAGGGAGCGCATTCCTTCATTTTGACGGCGTATATGGTAGTATGAACGCAGTTGGCAACTGCCTTCATACTACCGTATACACCGTCAAAATGAAGGTCAATCCTTATATTTACATTCAAAAAATGTTTAAATTCTACATTATGCAAAAGAAAAGTCGAAGCAGGTTGCCACGATGGTAACTACGGTAGCCATGGTTGCTAAGACAATATAGTTCCAGTGAATCTACATCAATATTTGAGTAAATTTAGAAAATACACAGTGAACAACACTATTTTTTCCTTTCATGGTTTTTAAATTTTAAATTAAGCAATGTGAGAAGCCCTTCAAACTTTTCTATTCATTTACAACGGTGGTCGACACACTGCTCATGGAGTGACGCGGTCAGAACGAAGCCGCCATTGTTGACGTTACCGCCAAAGAAATTTGAACGCGCCACCATGGAATAAGAAGTTTGTCAGCATTCTTTTGTTGTATAATAAGACATAATGGATCCTAAATATGTTTTATGCATCTAGATGGTGAATGATCCAAACATTGGTTGTCATTGGACTGTTATCTCACCGAAGCGTGAGTGGTGCCATATTTGAAACAAGTATCTATCCGCCGAGCGTATACGCTAATTTATATGCAGTCAGAGTTTACAAAGCTGAAGAAGGGGGACATGGATGTGTTGTTTTGATGGGAATTAAGAGCTGTGAACATTTGATACATACTGCCTGTCACCATTCTGAGATGTAAGTACCAAATGGTACAATCACAGTTTGTTCATATCTAAAATATAATTTTCATTTTGAAGAAATTGTACTGATATCAAATCCAAAAACAACACACTATTCAGTCTGATGAATCCCAAAACAATCTTGATAAATGGCTGTCCAAAAAAAAAAAATGTATGGGATACTGGTACTGGGTCCTACCTGCATAATGGCGGCTACATTTTGGACTTGTGTCTCCGTTAGACCTGTTATACACACGTGGTGAGATCCATCCTCTCGTGCATGTAGTCTGTAACAAATACAGCATAGTAATCTTTGTCATACAGCAACCTGCAAGAATTAAATACCTATAAAGGTTGCTAATTGTTTTACTAAACTCATTACATATAAGATGTATGTAGGGTATATACCCTGAAGAGATAGAGTACACAGTCCTGACATTTAAGCAGTGAGCACTATCAATATTCATTAATTTCACCTCTAGAGATGCTTTTATCAGCCAACAACTTTGGCAGTTTCAAGCCATGTACTAAACCCATTACATTATTATCTCGTTCTATTGAATGAATTAAGGCACTAAGCCACAGTATACATCTTAGAATGTTTAGGTATAAAATAGTGACCTCACCATGCCTTCAGACTCTTTATAGAAGGAACGGCTATCTCATATTGCCTTGCCTTCTGCTGACAGCATTATGGTCTAATGTTTGCAAGGGATGGAATATCCTGGACACAATATCAAGACTCGAGTGCCTTTGACTGGAGGCAATAATGATTTTAGTACATCACTCTTACCAGGGAAAACTATTTTGCCAAGTTCTGTGATGTGCTTGTAGGAGATCATGGGGCAGCAAACCTATGGCAATGCATGCAAGAGTTATGACCCCCCCCC